TACCATACATATTTCAAAACTTTTTTGACTGTGACCCTTAATAAGATATACATTTTATAACACATGCATATAAATAAATGAAAGTTTCACATGATGCTTATCATTACTAATCAGAAACATCACCTATCATCCTGTGAGCGGTGCACAAAACCACTAGGGGTGCCATCCACATAGACTACAATGCAAATGACATCCCTGGAGTGTGCAGTGCACAACCTGCACAACCATACCCAGCGACCCTGCATACAATGTACTTTGTCCTGTTTTCCTCTATTTAATTTTTTGTAAAGTTCATTGCAAACCACTAAATTGACTTCAAACCCTATGCTATGGACTGAATTATGATTCCCACCACCACCAATATTCAGTTATTGAAGCCTTAGCCCCCAGGGTGACTGCATTTAGACACAGGATGGTTTTTTTTTAAGCAATTAAGGTTAAAGGAGGTCATACGGATGGGGTCTTAATCCGACAGGAATGGTGGCCTTATGGGAAGAGGAAGAGATCTCTTTCCCCACCACTCCTCACTCCATGCTCACATACCTAGGAAAAACTATGTGACCACACAGCTACAAGAGTAGAAGGTGACCGTCTGCAAGGCAGCAAGAGCGCTCTCCCCAAAACCCAAACATGCTGGCAGCCTGGCCCAGACTGCCAGCCTTCAGAACTCTGACAAAATAAACTTCTGCTGTTTAAGTCACCCAGTCTATGGTATTTTGTTAGGCCAACCTGGCAGACTAAGACAGCACACTAATAAGGTCTCAACCCCACAGTCAGAGCAACATGACATTGCACTATGTTTAGGGCAATGTGTTAGAAATAAGTGGACCCTTTAGAAGTTTGCTTCTAGCTTCAGAGCCTCCCTGAGAATGCCACACTGCAGCTGTCCCCAAGGAAAGCCTACCTCTCCTGAACGTCCACCTCCTTTTTCTCTCCCTGAGGTTTTTTGTTCCCCTTCCAAGCACTTCATTCACTCTGCCTGGGGAAATTTGAGGTCAGCTTTCTTTTTTCCTTCCCTCTTTGCTTGCTGGCTTTTTCCCTCCTTCCTTTCTTTGCTCCCTCTTCCTTCTTTACTTCCTTTAATAAATGGATTCTTTAAGGCCTCAACACTTCCTTAAGTACAATATCTGTTAAATCATGCTTATTAACTCAAAACAGATTTCAAGTGCGTAAGGATCAACCCTGAGTATTTGGCTCTGAAAGCTTTCTTAAGCTTTATGATCTTATCATCATGAAAAAGGTTATAGCTTTTACAGATAAAGAAATAAAAGGCCAAATTTTTTTACTTGAATTCGATTTTTTATATTAAATTCAAGCCTAGCCCCACCCTCATTATAATATCCAATCTAATGTGGTCTAGATTAGAACATAGCCAAAACTGGTCTTTAACCAAAGAGAAAAATTTAGGAAAATATACCTAAAAATTGTATCTGCCCTGTACCCTGTTTCTGTTTATCTTATTAGATCTCCTTTTAGTACTTAGCACTGGCTCGCACTCCAGATAAGAATGTTTGTCTCTTCCTTTCAACGTCTCCTTTCACTTTTCCTAACCTTCAATGTTAAAAGGGTGCACAGTTGTCTTACATTGACTTTAATTACATTCCAGTTCCTTTGTACGTATTACCCATTCTTATTCTCACACCAATGGAGTAAATACTCTTAACCCCACTTTATAGGTGAGGATGTGGAGATTCATATAGTTTAAGTCTACACTGTACTGTCTTAGATCCACATTTGTCCAATTCACTTGAGATTCTTTATTCTATACAACATTGTCTTCCAATCACATCATTTTACTAAAATCCAACCAGACTACTTACTGTCTTTCAAAAATTCTGTTTGGACATTGGAGTGGCCTAATGAGGGGGTACCATATCCTGCTGCTTTTTGAGCCCCACAAACCTGAGTTCCAATGGTGGGCACTACATGCCAGCCCCCTGGGTGGTAGTACTTGTTTCATAAAAATTCATACTTTCTGGCCTTAGGGGCTCCCACTGAAGCCTCTGGTGAATTTTGAAGATAACCCAGCATGCTGGGAGCTCCATGGTTCCTTGTCATTTAGCACATTAAACTTTTTACATCTCACTTTCAAAAATACCTGTAATTTCAGTCCATCTATCCTCATCTTTCCCTTCTAAACTGTGACAGTATAAGCTTCTCTTCAGTGTCTTTTGGATCGTGTTGTAGAAATAGGATGAAGCCAGAAGTCAGAAAAGCCTGGGCTCTCACTCCGGTGGACTCCTGGCAGCTCTGGGCCTTACCCAGAAGACCATCTCTTCAGCTTTCAATTAACAGAAGTCTCCTAAAGCCCGCCTAAGGTCTCTTTTTGCTTTTGAAATTCAGTGGTCCTTTTCCCCTTTAGCATAATCCCAATTCATTATTTAGGGTTTCATTCATATTCAGGGTTTTAACCACAAGACTAAAAAGAGAACAGTGCTAAACTGCTCTATTTAGTTCTAAGTGTTGATTCTTAATGCAGAATGTAGAATAAACTCCATTTTTTAGAATAAGACATCTCATTTCTCCAGAGATGTAGGGGTTGATACTGGAATGGGTCTAGATGGGCAGGGAAAACGTGGGAAGGAAGTGGGAAGGGCAAGGTGCCCAGAGTACACCAACGGTGGTCAGCGAAGGCCTGGGGAAGTTTCTCTCTCTGGCCCTGCAAACAGCACCACACACCAGGCAGATTCCCCCAAACACCTTTCCCGAATGTGCCCCAGGGTGCCTGTCCCTGGAACCATGTTGCAGGCCTTGACTGGCCAGGTGGCTTTCATCAGGTGGTCAGCTGGTGGCTCACACTCTAATTCTCTCCTCTGGAAATAGAATTTCATCTTTTCCAGCAGTAAAACTTTGAACAAACTTTGGTACAAATCCAGAGGCTCAGCTACTTATAAACATTCAACTTTAGAAAAACCAGTCTTCCAGGGCACCAGCGCATGGACGTGCTCACATTTCTTGGCCCAACAGGGCCACTCAGAGTTCAACTATTTCTGGGACTTTTTAAAAATGTACTTTGTCTAATCAAGCAAACCCATATCCAAGTTAAACATTTTATACTTTGGGGGAATTTAGGGACATAAACCAATGAGGAAGATAAAGAAGGGGGAAGCCATAGGACTCTGAAGAGTGGCATGGAGCCAGCCGAGTCCCCGGCCCAGGGGGGAGCCTACAGGTGCCTAGGTGTCCTATAAGCAACTGGAAGCTGCTCTTAACCCACCTGTACTTGGGCAGGTGAGTGTCTGTGTTGTGAAAAGGCCATTGCAACACCGCTTTCATCCTGAACCTTAAAGATAGAGTTGGGGAGGATTAGTGACAGAGTCACCTACACGCTGTTCTTTGAAGGAACCATTCTTCCCTTCTTCCTCCACAACAACCTTCCCTACAATTCTGGAAATCTCCCCACCTATCATTTGTTCCCTTTAGTTAAGTTTTCATTCAAAGTATCAGCACTCTTGGGAACTGCATCACACTCCCTCCCTGGTACATTACTATGAATAAGTTTCCTAAGTGGTACCAAGAAGTAGGAGAGGCCAGTGAGGATGGAGATCAGATAGGTGAGGGAGACAGTATCTCAAGAGGAGAAACCCTTCTCCAGCATCCCAGATTTGCCTGGGACCAGCCCCATCCTATGACAAACGCTTTACTCCCACTGCAAGGGAAAGTCTGAGATCCTGGGTGTGTCTTTGTGAATCATTAAAGCATCTTTCCAAGATGGCCTAGATTTGACAACAATGTGGCAAAGGAAAGACCTCAAGTGAGGGAAACAGTAGGACATCTGGCACAAAGCCCGTCATATCACAGGCATTCAGTAAAGAAATACACTCTCCCTTCCTTTCCTAGTGCTTCTGTGTCCCAATCGTATTAATTCTCCCTCACGCAGTCTTCATTTCCCAGAAGTGTAGGTTTCATGGCTGAAATGATCAGGAATTCCAAATAAAGTTCATAAGAAATCAACAGAAGGACTATTGGTGTGGATATTGGAAGGGTCCCATGCCTCTTCAACTGATTGGCTGATTCCAGCTTACACTTTAACTGCAGCAGGGAGCTAATGAAAGTCTGCAAAACAAAGAGGTTAAAGTATGCTTTAGAGAAGGTACTAGAATAGAGCTCACATCCCTATATAGCATTTACTATTGCTGATTTTTCTGGGCCATATCATTTATAAGTGCTTTAACCATGCAAGGCTGATTACTTAATACAACATGATCATTGTAACTTGATTTTACATAGAAGTTTTTACTTTTCAAAGAAATAGGCCTTCCTTGTTTCTTTTTTATGCATGTGGAATGAAGATGCTATCTTCACTGATCCCACCAGACAAAAAAGTCCTCGCCAACACATTCATTTGATTTCCCACTACTCAATAAACATAAATTTTCATTCCTTTCTGTACATTTCTCACAATCTCCATCCCTGCTGCCTGTGTCTCTAGCTCTCTCTGTACAGCCAGAATCCTCTGTTCAGGTCTCCTCTTTACCACTTCTTTGGGATCTGGGTTATTTTTTTTTAGGTCTTTGCACCATTTTCCTGTCCTCCTTCTCCCTGCTGCAGCAGTACTCCTGTGTTTCTATTCTCCCTGCCACTCTTCTTCTTTAATATTGAGGCCTTCATTTCTTTATCAATTCATCGAACACACGTTTTGTACCTGGCACAGTAGCAAGAAGGGAGACACAAAGGGTATAGCCTTTCCTTAAGGGACTCACAGTTGAGGGTAGCCAGTGAGTAAACCACTCTTTGTCACAGAGCAAGAAGAACACATCACAGGAGACAGACTGAAGCTGGCAAGGGTGCTTCCTGGAGAGCTGGCATTTGAACTGATTCCTAAGAGCCAAAACTCATGGTGGTTAACCAGGCAGAAAGGGGGGCTGGAAGGTGGGAAGGACATTTCAGGCAGAGGAAATGGTCTTTGTCAAGGCAGGAGGCAAGAGAAAGGGTGCACTAGGCTGGAGGCTCTAAGTATTGCTGGAATGGATAGGGCACAAGGGGGAAGGGGTTAGGGAATGGGCCTGGAGGAGTGCTCAGGTGAGGTCAGTGCGCACAGCATGCCATGCTAAGGTATTTTAACTTTAAGTCAAAAGGATGTAGAGTCATTGAGCTTAAGTAATGGAGTGACATGCTGAGAGAGACCACACTGGAAAGACCTGACAGGAACCCCCCGGTGGAGAAGGGAGGCAGGGGTGGAGGGGGTGCAATGCAGGGAGGGTGGCTGCGATGTGGGAGTGAGGTGATACAATTTGGACCTAGAATACACAGGATTTGGTGGCAAGTGGAGGGGAAAGTAGGGAATGGAAGCAGGCAGACAAGGTTCCCTAAGTCTCAGGGAGAGAAGCAGGCTTGGGAGAAAAGAAGAAAAATATCCTTGCCACCCTCCCCAGACCCACACTGGGCCCATACAGGTTGGCTGCATGGAGCTCAGGACAGAGTCCAGGCTGGAGGCACCAATTCAGGGATCTCCAGGATATAGCAGTGGCGGGTGGGTGCAGATGAGCAAACCAAGGGCTCATGTCCCTGGAGCTGGCAGCCCTGTATGACCCGGCCCCTGCCTCCCCTGACCCTTCCTGAGAGGACCACCACACGGCTATTGTTATTTCTTACCAGCTGGGGTCGCCACAAGGCCAGGCCCTGACGGAGCCTGAGCACACTCAGCAGATGTTCAATGCCAAGAAGCTGATGGCTGCCTTCCACCCTGCCATCCATGTTCAGGGACCACATATCGCATCCATGAAGGCGGTGGACAAGCAAATGCTGAATATCCAAAACAAGAAGAGCTGCTATTTTGTCAGGTGGCTCCCCAGCCGTGTGGAAATAGCTGTCTGTGACATCCCACCCTGGGGGCTGAGAAAGGCCTGCCACCTTCATCAGCAACAGCACCACCATCAGCAGCTGTTCAAGTGCACCTCCCAGCAGTTCGCGGCCACGTCGGGGAGGGCATGAATGAGATGGATTTCACCAAGGCCTAGAGCAACATGAATAGCCTGGTGTCCGAGTACCAGCAGTGCCAGGAGGATGAGGGCATCTTTGAGGAGCGGGAAGAGGAGGAGGTGGCCTAGGGCTGCCGGGTCCCTGAGAAAGCATGGAGCCCTGTCACCTCTTCACTGTGACAGCACATGGCCCTGGGTGTGAGCTTGCTCTCCTTGCCCTGACATCACATGCTGTGCAGACACCACCATGAAAGCATTTTCACAGTGGAAAAAGATGCCAAGCATGTGCCAACAAGTTCTTCCCCACCTGAGGACCTTGATATCTCCTTTGTCTGGAAAAAAACTCTCCTTTGGCTTTCCACCTCTTTGCCCATTAGGCCCCATTAGGTCCCTTCAGATAAGACATCCCTGTGCTCCCTGGCTTAAGAGGTTTATCTGTTATTCTCGGTAATGTCCCCATGCATATTTCCTTCCTAATATTTAGGGCAATATATAGTTTGATCATGTACTGAGCTCTTCATTTTCTGTCTCTCTCATTAAGTTTCACAGTGGTGGGAACTAGTCTGTCTTGTTCACCACTGTGTTGTTTTGCCTTATGCAATGTTTGGCATGCTGCAGGCTCTGCATAAGTATTTGCCAAATAAATGAGTGAATAATGGACCCAAAGTCTTCCCCACTGTATCGTCAAGGCCGCTGCAGGAAACAATGGCAAACTTAAGTTGAAGAGAGCTTAATAAAGGGACTGCTTATCAAGCCTTGGTGAGAGTGTAGAGAGACCAGAAGGCAGAGTGCAGGACCTGGGGCTAGGAGCAGCAAGTGCTCCATTACCACCCCAAGGCTCCAAGGACAGGAAGGGGGCAACTGCCAGAAGCTGGAGAGGCAGAAATCCAGGAGGAAAGGGCAATGTAGCAGCACCTGGTATCTTGGCATGAGGAAAAGAACCACGTGCCTGACCTCACACTTCTCGTCTCCCCCTGGTCCAAACACAACAAGAAGCCAGGGAGGAAGGTGACAAGAGAGGATGAGCACATTGATATGTCCTACACAGGTCGGCCCTCTCAGTACAGGGCAGGTGGAGAGGTGATCGGGAGTGGAGAATGAGAATTCACAGCACAAGGACCATAAGACCCAACAAACCCACAGAAACCATGGAGAGACTGGTTGAGACTCTTACAACCAAAAGACCCGGCTGTATGTTCAGACCCATATTGCAAAGGCTCTTGGACGTAAGGCAGAGACATTTTCAAGCCCTGGGAATTTGGGTCTGTTCTAAGCAGGCAAGGACCATGTGGATTGCATTTCCAAAGTGTGTTCTTAGATGTGTTTCTCAAAAGGAAATTCGCCATGACATAAGGAAATGGGTACCACAGTCCTATACATTCAGAAAATCCTGGTTTAAATTGGTTTCTCACTTCAACATTTCTGAAGCCCTTTACTGGTCTAGTGTACATGGCCAGTTTCCAAAAGGAAAGGCTTCTTGTTAACATCTCATGGACCAGAATGTTCTTTACAATATACCTAAGTGATGCCCTAAGAATCTGGTTCCTGCATCCCAGCTCTAGAATTCAGTTCTGCCATCGCCCAGCTGTGTGGACACTGCAAGCCACTTAATCTCATTTTTCTTATCTGCCCCAATTACAAGGTTGATCTTAGATGCTCATATTTTTAGGATTCAACATCTCTCCCAGAGACAGGGTTGCTCAGTAGCCTGGAATTTCTCAGGGTAAAATGCATGAATCTTTCACAGGACTCAGAGCAACAGCCTCCTTGGATGGCTGCTGGTGTCTGTTTTCACCCCTTGACCCAGATCATAGTCCTGAGCTTGTTTGTCCCAGCTCTAGTCCCCAGCAATGACACAGTGACGCACATAACCCGACTGCGTGCAGCACATTACTCAGCCCCAGGTTCTGCCTGGTCGGGTCCTCCCTCTGTGACTCACTCCTCTCCATCTGTAACCCTTCAGTATTCTCCAGGGTCATCACCACTGTACCCAGGATCACATATCCTGTGGTTCTGATCGCACCAGCCCTCAGCAGCAACTCCACCCATTCTGTCCTCAGCAGTCATCTGGCTGCTGATTTCCCCCCTGTATCATTTTGTTTATTCCTTATGTCTTCCTCTTTCTTCCTGCCAAGTTAGACAGCAGGTTAGTTTGCTTCTCTTTCTCCCAAAGCTGTCACTTTCCTCCTTCCTTTCTCCTTATGGCTCCCCTTCCATAGCAAGACCTTGAAACCCAACTGCCCCTTCAGTTGAGACACAGTAGCAAGTTAGCCATTCACTAGGACCTCCATAGAACTTACCATTCTGATTGGGATACTTTTGAGTATGAACAAGGGTGCTGTTAATAATTATGCCAAATTGATGGGTATAACCAAGACTGCTCCAAATGGGGCTTTTCGGTCAGCTCATTGTTTGCAGACATATGACCTATTGTACCACTGAAATGTCATACCATTTTCTTTTATGAGATGCATGTATGTTTTAATCTTGCAAATTTGAAGTACTATTCCTGACTGTGGTTTCTTGAGTCGCATGTATTGCATGTGTCTGACTGTCCCTTAGATCAGCCACAGGCATATTTCCATCAATTCCTAGGTGTGAGATTGGGTATGACAACCAGGAGCCCCTGAGCTCACTTGGTTGGGACAGCACAGCACGTCTAGACATGCCTGTGGGCTGGAGTATGGATGAGATCTGTGCTTGGATACAGGGAGACAGCTCCTAACTGCTTGTGTTATTAAGGCCCCTGCAGGAAATAGGTTTATCAGGGGTCTGTGACCACTGGGAGTTTCTCTTGCATTCTCAGATTCTTTTGCCAGTTTTTGTTGATGACTGAGTAAGGAAGAACAATCACTTTGTTTAACTGATGTTCTTGGCAAATGCCTGGCCCACCTTAATGCTTTAGACACAGAAATAACTAACTTCATGTCACTGGGTCTCCAAGTCTAAAACTCCAGGCAGGAGCCAGCTTGGGTCTGGTTTCCCAGGGCTATCTGAATCAGCCAGCCAGAGCAAGAAGGGCAGCAGCAGCTTCCAGGAGAAAGGTTTGCTGGGCTGTGTTTCTGAGTCTCCGGGACCCCAGTACTGCCAGCTAAGTGAGTGAGCAGCTCTCTCCTGACTCTAGCAGAGGTTGGAGATGTGCTTTCTCCCACCTGGCATGCTATCAGTAAAACTCACTCCAGCTTCCTTTTGCACTGTTGATTTATTTTATTTGTTCTTATCAGCTGCTGGTGAGCTTATGTTATTTTAGGAAGGTCCTTAACAAGCTGTCATTATATAGTTACCCCAGCCTGTCACCAAGCCAGCAATTGTCCCAGACACTCACCTCCACCCAGGTTCACCTTGCAGGATAAACAGCTTCTCACCTCCACCCCCTTGCCCAGCTCTCCAGTTCCTCCCTTGGCAAGCTGTGTCCCTTGCTGGCTGGGTTAGTCACATGCATGTCAAATTTCACTTGGGTTTCACCACGTGAGTAGATATATTAATCTTAACTGAACCCCCAAGTTTCCTTCATGACATCTTTCTTCCTTGCACCTTGAGCTTTTTTTTTTCCAGATAAAATCTGAGGCTCCTTTTGGTCAAGCTGCATGTGCCTTTGAATTTCTTGTGGATCTCTTTTGAGGACCTTGCTGCCATGTGCTCTTTGATGCATGCATGCACACGAACCCCCCAACCCCCCCACCAGACACCCTCAGAACTTTTCTTTCTCCCTCTTTCACTTCACGGATCTAAGCCAAGCAAGGCCATCCTTGTCCCAGTGGGAATGATCATCTCCTGGCTATTGTGCCCAGTTATTTTTCAGCATTATCTGCACATTCCTTCAGCATACGCTGACCTGCCTTCTCTTTCCCTACCCCCATTCCTGCATAAAACCAGGCTTTGCCCTCTTTGGGTCTATGGAGTGGTCCCTTCCCCTCCCTGCCTGCCATCTGGGTGGGTACTGCCAGCCCTGTGTTTCATTTCCCTCTCACTCTAGGTCCCCTCTTCTGTGGCCTGCATATGGGTAGTTTATATCAATGTCACTTCCCTCCACCCAAAGATTATCCCAGCTTTTTTTTTTTCCAATTCAAATCATGGTTATAAGCATTAAGATTGAAACACTGTTCTTAACTGCACAGTTGTATTAAATGTTTCTTGTTTTTCTGTTGCATTTTAATATTAAAAAGTGATTCTTTGTTATTGCAAAAATAATACATGGCTGCAATAGAAATGTAGCAATTAAAGTGCTAACATGTCTTTGTATGGTATATCCTTTCTGTTGTTTAAGACATAAAGTTTAAAAAAATATTTGTAATCATATCACCCATAGAGTTGTGGATCTCCCCATTTTTTACTCAATATTAAAACTCATTCATCATACAGCCATTGAGCATTTTTATGTGTGAAGGATTGTATCAGGCCCTGGTGATACAAAGTTCCCCACCCTCAGTGAGCTTATGGTCTGGTGTCAGAAGACATGAGGCAGTTACAATACAGTGTGGAAAACACAATGTCCTGTGGCCCCCAATCTGGTCTTGGAGGGGGTGTTCAGGGAAGGCTCTCTCAAGTGAAGTGAGGTCTAAGCCCAGATCTGAAGAATGAGCAGGAGCTACCTGGGCAATAGAGAAAGACTGTTTGAAGCACAGGGAACAGCATGTGTGCAGCATGGAAGGGAAAGAGACAGGAAGTTTTGCAGGTTGATTCTAGAGATAGCAGACCATGTAAACTAGGTTATTAACTCTGTATTTTATCCTAAGATCAATGAAGACTTCCTTTGGGCATAATCAGATTTGCTGATCAGACGTCCTTGGCTACAGTAATGGAACATAGGTCATATGGAGCATTATACCATTTTGTGTCATTATAAACTCTTCATAATGTATTTTTGTATTGATAACATAAGGTCCACAAGTAAACGCATCATAATTAACTTATCATTCCCTTGCTATTACTCATAATTAACAATTATAAATAATGTTGCAGTAAACGTATTTTTCTTTGACTCTCCTCTCCACAAACTAAAACCCTTTTTTGGATGCTCATTGAATCTCCTGTTCTATGTAATTACCTCTATCTTTTCTTAGTTCTAACTCTAATTCATAATTATGCCTCTGATCCAATTTGCAAACTGGCCTACAAATTTAGCAGGG